GAGTCAGTGAGATGCGAGTCAGTGAGATGTGAGTCAGTGAGATGTGAGTCAGTAAGATGTGAGTCAGTGAGATGTGAGTCAGTGAGATGTGAGTCAGTGAGATGCGAGTCAGTAAGATGGAATCTTGTTTAATCTTCTATAATAACAACAGTCTTTGATGATCCTTGCTAATGTGGATAGTTGTACAAATTTAAAATTGTTCACAAATTTAATTAACATACAGATTCATATTTACTCAGTACTAAATCCACCATTTGCAGTTTAAGATCTATTTTGAATCCGTAATTCAACAAGGCAAATCGTACTATGTTTGATAGTAGTCTCCCACATAAATTTGCATATTTCAAAACAATAATGTGCATGTCCCGAAACATATTGTGCGTGCACTGTTCTCTCCACTGCTGCCTACTAGATTTCCGCTCCAAGCTCGGAATGTATCAACACTGCATGCTTCTCACAATACCTCACTTTATCTCATGAACTAACAGAATCATAAAGCACAACAATGAAGTTTGATATGTTAATGTTCATAACATCGAATTGCATTCAATAGGAGTTCCATACATGTGTTTGTTAATTTGAACACGCTGAGTGATAACTGATGTCTTTTCATGTATTTAGCTAGAATGATAACAATCTCATGACACATATATCAAAATAGAATTTTTGCACGTTATATCCATTTATCTGCCTGTCTCAACGTTAATATACTAATTCCAACTATAAACCTGTATTAACTGCCAATAATAAAACACAACTGGTATGTTCTGGTGCGTTTTCATGGTAAATCGAGCGTTAAGTCACATGTTTTTGCCAGATAAGCATGTAATAAGACGACAAAATTCATTGATTTAAATTTGAAATTGATTGATTGGTATACCCAATGCGCAGGTTTGTTAAGACGGCCATAAAACACCGGCTTCTGCAAAACCATGTGAATCAGACGATTGGCATTTTTTTTCAAATAAAAATATCATACTGGCAAAAATTGCACATCATTACTGAATCCTGGTGACATACTGTTAAAACACTACTGGTACTGCACATACCTAAACCATCCACTGGGCATCCGAGTTTAAATCCAGCACCGCCCTGATCCACAGCTATGAGTTCCAGACATTGGATTTCATTTCCAGCTATTATATCCACATATTCAGGTCGTACTAGCATTATCTCCACACATAAATGCGTTACAAGAGTACATAACGTATGATCTAATGGCACAACTATTTCGCCCTGAAACGAGGGCAGTAAAATGGTTTCGTCAGGCAAGAGGGCCATATCAAAATAGACATTTGGATCACTTTGTATAATGTTAAATGTGGAAGTCGCTAACGTGTCGCCATCTGTGAGGTAGAATCTTGGAGCGAAATTATGTTGTCCGGCTGAAGCTTCTTGTATAGAATGTAATCCCCCGTTTTTGATGTGTGTTTGTACGGTTAACATGGAAGGTAGCCCAGGCGTGTAAGACAGCGACAATGGACTCAAGACTGTTAGACTGGTTAGCTGTAGATCTAGAAGATGAACAACAAATATGTAAATGCCATTAATAAATTGTAAAATAATATCAATCACCCACGATGCAACTTTGGGAAACCTTAATTAAGGTATTTCACTACCACTAAAGCATGAAAAAAAAAGATCACAGTAAATCATTCAAAAATTGTTGTGTAATGCTTCATATACATATTTAAAGTTTTTATGAAAAAGGATGTGTTTTCAAGAAAACATAAGCAAAATAATCTGAAAAGCATTTTCCATAGGATTCCATGTAAACACATTATTCCATGGATAACTTATACTAATATTGAAAATTCACAAATTGTTATTTGTCTTATAACACGACATACCCAGTATCATTTTTTTAGAATAGCTGACCGATCAAATTTTTTACAAAATGACGACATGTTTTTGACACAGGAACTAATTGTAAACTACCGTACGTAACACATTTCAATTTTCAAGATAATTTGTAGAAAAATTAATTTAATGACCATTTATATTTATTTTAGTATACTGTATTTTTGCTGGAATTAATTTTTGCTGAAAAGATTTTTTGGGTGTTTTGTATGTAATTAATTTTCATTGATTTTTGATGAGTTGAATGTGAAATATAGGAAAAAAGGTATAATCGCTGGATTTTTTTTTTATTCATCCCTTCAGCAAAAAAATAAAGTATTTTACAGTATTGAACATGACAGTAACTGAACCCGCTTGCTGGATTTGAGAATTTCTAAGTATTTAATTAATGGTAGCAAATTACCTTAAAGTCAGCATGTGTTGTCCTGGGTAATGATGGGATGTATACAATGAACATTTCCAAAAAAAGAATATTCATTAATTTTCAGCCATTTTTCGGCTAATCGTTTTTTTAATAAACATTTGGGCAAGTTGTTGGTACATGTAATATCTTTCAACAGAATGTTGGAGAATTGTTGCTCACCAAATAAATGTACACACTTGTATATTTCATAGGATATGGTACAAGGCGGTGATGCCATGCATGCATGCATCAGATTTGTGTTGATATCATAGATTGATTTTCCCACAATGCACTGCACTCTACTAAGAATTCAATATGGTGCATGGCAAGTATGCATTGAGTTTTGACCTGGGTGAAATAGATGTACAACACATGGCAGTTTAAAGAATCATGTAGTGTATCGTAATTGCACATATAAACCTTGGTAGCATATCTCATGCTGTGTAAACCATGATCTGCATAACAAAATTGTCATTGTCAAAATTGTTACTGTGGATACATCGTGGTGAATAATATCAAAAAGGTACATGCAAGGTAAAAAATATTAGATCTTATTATCAAATACAAATGTGCTGAAATTAGTTCATGGTTTACACGCAACAATATAATCTATGGTATAACACTTACCAATATAACATTCTATTTCTCCAATTTTCTGTTCAGATCGTGGTCCAAACTGCGCACACGCTATATTATTGTCCAGATTTGGATCATTGTACATTGCATTATTATTGAAGACAACCTCCAAACATAAATATTCAACGTATTCACAGTCAACTGGAGGGATGCTTATAATGGCATCTGAATTGGTTCCACCCACTGAAAATCCGACAGGTAACGCTGATTTGAATAAATCTGATATATACGAACTCAGCAGCAATGGACCCACATGCTGCCAATAGGTGGCAGTGTTGGGGTCACCAGTGTTTGAGAAATAGGCCTTGATACTATAATGTGGAACACTTGATATCAAGATTGCATCTGGCCCAAGATTCTTGAAATCAATTGTTGGTGAAATTGGAACGTCCACTCCTAAAGGAATTTTATCGAAAAATCCATTTACTACAAAAAACGTTATTTCAAGGTCTGAAAAAAAGCACAAAAAAAGTGAAATGTATAAATTGTGCGTATACTATTGACACAAGAAACCCATGTACTTTATTTTTATAAATATAAATTTCAATGATAGTTGAATCCAACCAGCCAAATAGAGCACAGTGCCAAATGGCATCATTTGAAAAAAAAATCAAATGATATTTCATTGGGCAATAGAAACCACCAAAGCAGTTTAAATTTTGAAATTAATAAATACTTATGAGAAAGCAGGGAATGGGTTTGTCGATACTATTTTAGAAACAAATGTACAAAATTATATATTTTTTTACTGATTTCTATAATAATCCTGATACCTATTAATTGTATCTTTACCCAAATAACATTATAAACTATGATAATGATTGTATTGATCAATCAATATGTTTTGATGTGGAAACAGTTCCTGAAGCCCATAACCTAAACCTTAATCCTAAAACACAAGCCTCCTAATGTAATTTTATATCCCCCCCCCCCCCAATACATGTCCTGGAGGTGTGGCCTGTTCAGCATTTGTCAACAACCAATCATAAGACTGGTTACGAACCACATTGAAGTTAGCCTCAACTGGTTCGTAACCAGTCTTGTGATTGGTTCTTCGCTTCCAATTGTGCCGTGCGATCCGGCAAACCGTTAAGTATTCGTAAATGAAGTCAATTTGTGTAGTTTGCTTGATTCATTCTGCAGATATAGGTAAAATATAGGTAAGGCTTTGGCGAAATTTGAAAGAGCAACTAATAATCTTCAACCTGGTATTATTTATAGATTTTATTTTTTATTCTGTTCGTCAGTTTTTTCTAGTTTAAAAAATATGAGCTGGCTGGAGCCTTCATCCCTTGTCTATTTCTTACACTAGATATCAGCCGATACACCCCCCCCCCCCCCCCGCTCATAGGGAGTGCGTACAGTTGATCATAGTTCCTGGGCTTCCTGTGACGAAACC